CATTCACCATAATAAGAGCCCAATGGGGACCTGAGCAGGTGAACAGAGACAGAGGAAGAAGGCAGCAGGAGGGACAGCCATGGTCACACCCAGCTAGAGAACCCTGGGATACAGCCTAGTGGGGGGGACTCAGATGACCAGGAGGTGCCTGCCAGCCCACCTGACAGCTATACTGCCAGCATCTGAAGACAGAGACAGAGACCTTAAAAGCTGGGAGGGAATAGCTACTCCTTAGCTTTATGGGAGAAGCAACTGGAATCAACAGAGAATTTCTCCCCTGGAAACAGGGAGGACAAAGGAAAGGACACACTTTCAAGTGTTGAAGGAAAATACTGTGGACCCACAACTCTAGATCCAGGAGATGTACCTCTGGAATCATGCTAAACTCAAGAGCCCTCAGTTGTAGAAACATGAAGAGAATGTGTACCTGACCCCAAAGTGACTGTGAGGTGCTCTATAAAGAATAGAGACATGACAGGAGCAGGGACCTTGGAACAAAGGATGGGGAAGTACCATAAAGAATGGACAAGTGATAAGCATTTGATAGCTGTATCTGACCATTGTACATTGTGGAAATTTGTCCAAACATCACTTTGACACCCCAGGTCATCAGGGAAATGCAAATTAAAACACCTGAGAAAACAACCCCCCTGAGGGATGGTCAAGTACAAGAGGGAACACCCCACAGGCAGCAGGAGGGAACCCAGGCCCCATCCCTGCTGCTGAGCTGGTCCTGGCTGCAGTAATAAGCCACTCCCAGCAGCTGAGTGTTCTGGGGAGTGTCAAAAAGCTGTCTCCAAAATGGAGACAGGACATACAAGACAGTGTGACAGATTCTGATAACACTAGGCATTCTGCTATGAAACTAAAGATCGTGAACATAACCATTTAAAAATAAATAAAAGTCTACAAATTAAAACTTATAAAAACTGTGTGCAGCATTGAAAACTTGGAGGACACAAGGCTACCCTTCTCTAGGGAAATTAATCGATACTGTTGAAGAGCCAGAGAGTAGCATATTACTCAGCAATGAAAAGAACATATCTATCATGGTGGCTGTGTTGCTCACCTGTACCCTCACCAACTGGAAGGCTGAGGTAGCAGGATCACAAGTTTAAGGCCAGGTTCAACAACTTAGCAAGGATCTAACAATTAAGAGATATACTTCCTCAAAAAAAAATTGAAGAACAATTTGAAAAGAAAAATAAAACAACTCTCTATACTATATTGAAAACCCCTGGAGGTTTGTGTGCACAGCACTCGGGGTGACAGACCAGTCTGAACATTGTCATGCTGTGAGTGCCAAGCCGGTGTCACTCAGCCCAGGTGAAACTACTGGATGGAATATCATGAAAGTCTGCAGCAGAGGTGGGGTGAGGAGCAGCTGGAGCTCAGAGAGTGGGAGGCGGAACCTGCACTGTGCCAGGCCACAGTGTTGGACAGACATCATTGTCCACTTGTCTAGTTCCACAGAGTGCACAAAGCTGAAGGAAAGAGTCAGGGTGCAGAGGAGCTCCCTGGATCCTTCCATAAACCCTCCCAGTGACCTCAGAGCCTGGCTGCCTCTGAGCAGTGCCCT